GGCAGCGGCGCGGGGGGCGGGGGCGAGTGAGCCCACGGGGTCCTTTATGTAATGTAAGGGGACCCACCTGCTGGCGAGGCGGGGATCAGAGGCCCGGGTTCTTGGAGGGGGTGGCACTGAGTCTCGGGTGTGCCGGACCAGAGTCGCAGACTTGGGAACAGCGGCCCAAGCCAGACAAACAAGCTTCAAGCAGTTGCCCCACAGATCTGGTAATAATAGTAATGGCAGCTACAGTGTATGCTGAGTTATGCTTGGGCGCTTGTCATGGGCAGTCCTCACTGCAGTCCTGAAAGGCGGGTAGAATTGTTACCCCGTGGTGTAGATCAGCACACCGAGGTCCAGAGAGTTTAAATGCAAGGCCTCTTAGCCAGAGGTGTCTGGTGCAGGATCTGAAACCCAGGTAGCCGGCTTTACACTCTCACCCCCTGTGCACATGGGCTCCCCTTGCCTGCCGGTGACCCAGGAAGGTCAGCAGGCTGGGCTTGGACATGGAACAGCTGGTGACTGGCTTCTTTTGGGTCCGTTTCAGATAGCCATCCGAGCTTGCTTCCTTGGCTTTGTGTTCGGCTGTGGCGTGCTGCTCAGTTTCAGCCAGTCCTCTTGGAATCACTTCGGCTGGTAAGGAATCCAGGGGGGTGAGGGTGGACAGCGCAGAGGGTCAGCAGTGGTGTTTCCTTGTCCCTGTCTCTTACCTCTGACGGGCAGGCAGAAGGCTGCTTAGGGTCCTTCCTGTCTCCTAGACGCCCACAGTTCGCATTGTACGCGCGTGCCCTGCCCCTTGGTTGACTGTGCAGACAAACAGGTCTCCCTGGCACTCTCCCCAAGGGTGCCCTCACGGCAGCTGCTGGGACAGCATTCAGTGAGGTGCCGAGCCCTTCCCGGAAGGGGGTGCAGGTCCTCGGTGACGGGAAGGGGCAAGACTCTGGCTGGCCTTCCTAAGCCTTTTCCATCTCCAATTTCTATTAGGTCACGTCTAGTGCACCCCCTCAGCCACAGTAGGATTTTTCCCTACACTATGATTTCAGTCCCTTGAGCCTTCTAGTGTCTGACCTGGATATGAACCATGGCTTCAAGGTAAAGAGCTTTATCTCCTATTATCAGTATGCTGAGCCATCTAATCCTTCTTTGCTGAAATTATTTTATTTTGTTGAATTTTGTTTTCCAACATACATCACTGCTTTATGTTGCTATTTCTCTCTTTCATTTTAAAATGTATATTGTCATCTTACAAGGACATAAAGGCCCATAATATCTCCTTCACCTATGGAGAGGATTTGTTTTTGTTTTTGTTTATTTTTGTCTGTGACATTCAAAATCATAACAACTCCATTTACAAAGCCCACTGTGCAAACCGGAGGGAGTAAATGCTGTGCATCCGGGCGCCTGCTGTTCCCGCAGGCAGTTTTAGCAGGCCCTCATCACAGAACCAGGGACAGTTCAGATCCAGATCTACTCTTACTTCCGCTAACTTGGTTCCCTTGCCCCAGTTTACCGCTATTTCTTTTTAAATAGGTACGTGTGCTCACTGTCATTGTTCCACTATTCTGAGTACTTGGTGACAGCTGTCAATAATCCCAAAAGCCTGTCCTTGGATTCCTTCCTCCTGAACCACAGTCTGGAATACACAGTCGCTGCTCTTTCTTCTTGGATAGAGTTCACCCTGGAAAATATCTTTTGGCCAGGTTAGTGTGCCCTACTTTCCTGCTGGCATGGTGACATTGTTTCACCTTTCAGGCCTAATCTCCCCTGGGCCATCGTCCCCAGCCCTCTGTCCTCCTCACTAAGCTATTTATAAAGGACAGGCTCCACGCAAGAATTCCGCTTCGGGATTTTGACTCGAGGACACGTTGACCTTTAATCCTAGAATAACACAGTGCACCATCTAAAGTGACGTCCCACTGCCACCTGACTTCATTTTCTGTGACGGGAGAAATCTCGTGAAATTCCATTAGCAAAAAATTTCTGCGTGTGGAGCCCACTGTGAAATCGAACTTCCCATAGATGATGAAAACAATGGCTATGGCTCCCAGGATTCAGGGTAGAAACCTGGTCCTTTGCTTTTCTCACCCGGACTTGTCCCAAAGAGAAGGACACCAGCCTGTGGCTGGGGACAAGAGCCCAGCACCTGTGAGCCTGGGAGGGGAAGACTGCTTTGCAGTTACACTGCTGTCTTCTCTCCTTTGACTTTGCTCACCGATGCTGGCCGCCCTGTGGCACGTTTTCTAATGCTTCTGTCTTAGAATGAGTTGGTCCCTGTTAAGCAGCGGAGATGTGGGAGCTGGACACTGCTGTCCGCACTCCCTGGGTCCCCGGTGTGTCTCTCCGCAGAGCTGAAGCAGATCACCTGGCTCAGCGCCACGGGGCTGCTCATGGTGGTCTTCGGCGAATGCCTGCGCAAGGCGGCCATGTTCACTGCCGGCTCCAACTTCAACCACGTGGTGCAGAATGAGAAGTCAGACACCCACACTCTGGTGACGAGCGGGGTGTATGCTTGGTTCCGGCACCCTTCCTACGTGGGCTGGTTTTACTGGAGCATTGGAACCCAGGTATGGAATCACATGTGACACTGGTTGCCAACTATAATTGATAAGCTGTAAAATTCACCGTTTGAGAGAGAGCATTCAGTCTCTCCTGCTGTATTCACAAGGTTCTCAGTGTCCTTCAGCCTGTATTTCCTGGCGTGTTTCTTTTATTTCTTTAATTTATGTAGACAGGGTCTGGCTCTGTTCTCTTTTTTGAGGCTGGGTCTTATTATGTAGCCCAGGTTGTCCTCAAACTCCCAGCAGTCCTCCTGCCTCCACCTCCCAAGTGCTAGGATTACAGGCATGCGCCACCACGCCTAGCAAGAAAATAAATTTAGGGCCAGGGATTTAGCTCAGTGGTGTTGCCACCTGCCTCCCAAGAGCAGGGTCCTGAGTTCAATCCCCGGTACCAAAAAAAAAAATAATAATAAATTTAGTCCTTAAGGCTTTAAAATCTGGGCCTCATACAGCATTGGTGACTCTATGCTGCCACTCCTTGCCATACCCTTCTCTGCCTCCCAACCTAGATCTGAAGTGCTTCGGCGGGGGACGTTAAGGCAGGGTGCACCCTTAGCCACTTATGAGCAGCTGCATGGTTTAGCATCAGAAATTGCACTTGTGAGTCCAAGATCCTTGGCTAGGCTAATGAGTGTGGGAGTTTGTTCAGTCCCAGGTATGGGCCTTGTTTCTTCTTTTTTTTTTTTTGGAGACAGGGTCTCGCTGGTTTTGCTGTGTAGTTCAGGCTGGTCTTGAACTCACTATGTACTCCAGGCTGGCCCTGAACTCATGGCAATCCTCCTGCCTCAGCCTCTTAAGTGCTGAGATTACAGG